CATACATGCGAATATATCCATTCTTAGAAAATATTTCTGGGTTCTCTTCAAGTATTTTTCTAAATGGACCACGAATACGAGAATACCACATTTCTGGTGTTTCATTATCATGTTTATATTGTAAAAGGTGTATTGCTTTTATTATCTCATTATATCTATCATCACGATCAGGCGAACAAAGCTTATAGTAGGCATTACTATCTAAATCCATCCTTATAAATGTTTAAGCAATAAAATAGTGTTTTTAGTGATTTATATCGTTTTTAGTGATTTATTTCAAGTATATGTAATAGAATATCATGATTCATTTTTACTTTTCTGGGAATGGGTTCGAAATATTGCAATTACAAAGGGTGTATATAGGTTATATGCTAATTTTATATCCATATACAGTACATTAGTGTCATACATGTGATTCTACCTTGCGAAACAACATAGATATTGCGTCATTACACGTGATACATGATGAAAATAAATCGTTGCAACTATTATATACTAAACTATGCAGTAACATCAGAGACGACTACCATTGCCTCTTCTTTTGTGGTGAAGCATTGGGTGGATTATCCCTTGGCGAACGCACTACTTTATGGAAACTAGCCATATGTTCTCGATGATATATCATAATTCTTATCTGCATGAAATATTATTATAATGAGTACATAATACTTACGTTAAAAACCATCATAAAATATTACCTTGAATTTGGCAATCGTTTCTATTATTTTAGGTATTCTCACCAGACATTCATTTGTTGTTGGTAATATGAAATCATCATAATTCTTAACCACAAACTCATTATTAATGTAATGCATGCTTAAGAAACTAAAAATTTTCCCTATTTAAATCGATTGAGTTGCATTAATTAATGATCTAATGTAATCAGTGCAAAACACATTTACCATGGACTAATACAGCAAAAGTTGATAATTGTTGCGAAGTTTCATTATCGAGATGTGCACGTTGATTCCACAATGATAATGACATTGCTATGGTTCGTGGAGAAATACAGCTAGTCAGCATAGTGTTTGAACTAAATGGTGGGTAATAAAAGGCATACCTTTATATAATTTCTCTAAGTCAATATTCCTATCAGTTATGTCATTGTTAAAGGCATTGCCTACGACCTCAAGAAATCCGACTTGATATTTCTTTCCGTGTATTATCATATTGATCACACCGTCATGTTTCATTCCAAGTTTTGACCGCTCATTATCTTCCTTAGTATCATTCCGTTGCACTTTTTGTATTTCGTTCTCAATTTCTCCGGTTTCAAGCCATATAGAACGTTCAATAATTTCAAATGCCCCCGCAAGCAAAGGATTCACAATTTCCGAGCGATAGCGAAGCTCAGAGGCTTCTTTATCAAATAGAGCACCTCTATTACGTAGAAATTGTCGAGTCCTGATGTGGGAAAAATAAATTATAACAACAGTACAGAAAAAAAACAAAAAACTTGTTATGAAAAACCTACAAATCAATAAATATTCTCTGACACCAAATCAATTCATCGTCACGTTTATAAGAAAAATCATCATAGGGAGGTTTACTGAACACCATAATAAGCTTCTCGTGATCAACATCCAAAAATTCGTCAAAATGATCTACTATTATCTTATAATACTTATCTACAAGTTCTTTCGTTTTAGATACATTCCATCTTTCTTCGATTGTTTTTGGATATTGGTTTCAACCTAATTAATTATTATAAGTCAATAATTCATAATTTGCCCAATCCAAAACTACGTTACCTTTTCCCATTCATTCTCCAATGTTCTCATTTGATCGGGGAATGTATTGTAGAGTTCTTTCGTGTACGGAAATTGTCTATCAAAGTGAGAAACAACCTTGTATGCAGTAGCCAAACGATTTTCCAAATTTTCCAGTATACTTGATTTATCCTTGTAAAAATGATCCATCCCATTAATTTAAAGTCCAAGTTTGGTACTAATAATATGATGTAAACTATAAATTACCTCAGACGCAAAATTTTTAAGCGAACCTAGAACGTTATTAATATTCGTTTCAACAATATCTTCAATTTCGTCATTTCTTTCGTTACCTTCGTTATCGACATCTAAGTCATTAAAAAGACCTGCATTATCATTATTAAACCGAACTTGCGTCTGATCTTCTCCGGTCTTATGAAGAATATCAGTAAATTCCGTCGATTGAGGCACCGATATATTGTTGGTTTGATTTCCATCGGTTTGACTCTAAGTCAGCGAAAAATATTAACAATATATCATAAAGGTAAATCAACAACAGCGAAAAAAATTACGCTATTTCATGGAGACATGTTAATAAAATAACTTACCTTCTTCGTAAGCCTTTCATCTAAATGACCGTGAAAGTCGATATGTGCTTTAAGTTTCGTTTTCTTTACTTTTTTCTATTATTCGAAGATGTTTGCTTTGTAAGTACCAGCCCCAGTTCCTTAAGCTTAAATAAAAAAAAAAAATTAACATACGTCAGCTCTTCGGCTTCGTTTTTCATCCTCGTAGCTCTCCCAGTCATTCCTATACTCGTAAGCCTCCCATTTCCTTTTTAAACTTGATAATTTTTCTGAATATGGGTCATCTTGTAATGCTTCATCTAACCGTAACTTATAATCACGAAAACCAGAATTTTTACGGCGGTAATGGTATTGCATAAAGAATCTCGTCGGACGAGGATCTTCGTCATCCATCAAGAATTTTTTTTGAGCTTCACGAACTTCGAGTGCTCTCATTTTTGTAACGCGCTAGACATCTCCTTATTACGCGTCTTAAAAAGATATCAGATTTTGATTGTACCACATTGGCCTCGGTACCACAAATCAAATGACGAAAATTTATATATAGAAGGATTTTTTTTTCATTAAAGCATACAGTAGCTAGTTTACTCAAGCAGAAAAAACTGAGCTTACTCGCTTGTATATCTGTGGGAGATTCCCCTGCACAAGCGTCTGCTAGGTATTAGGTTGAAGGTCGGGAAAAGACTGAGCTCATTCATCTGGATAGCAGGGACGTTATTACCATACTATGGGAGTCTACCTGTGAATGACTGCGCTCGACCAGATGGATACGCTTCAACGCTAGCTACTTTTTCCATTTGCTATACATTCAATATTCCTTATACTCGCGTCGAGTTCTGTACTCATAATAAAGGGCTCTACTTCCACAGGGAGTATTTTCCGTTCGCTATCTCAATTTCTAACTATTTAAGGTTTCAACAAACATTTGTCTCACTTTTGCAATCAAAAATTATTTAGTGAAAAAAAATAAGTGAACTTTATTAACAATCTCAGATACATAACTAATCAGAAAATGATAGAGGAGCAAGTGAAATGTATGATGCTATCAAAGAGGGAGGGAGTACGCGGATCCTAGGCCATTTAATGCGAGTCCCATTCCGCCTGAAATTTATTACTTAACGCATTACAATAAAGGTAATTCGATTTTTTTATTGCCGATACTAAGAAGTTGGCACGTGAAGGCGTTTATTATTGTAGTCACACTGCGCCAAATTTTATTGATGTTAAGGCATGTGACGAGATTTATGTGAGTAATTTCACTGCGCCTATTGTACGCGTGATGATGGTCAGTGATTTTCTCGGCGAAGATCGAAATGCCGATATATATCAAGAAGAGTAATATGTCCGTTTTATTTTGGAACATCTAAGAGGCGGGAAAATCGATTAACATCGTGATGACATGATTCAAGAAGCTAGCCGAGCAATAAACCAACTTACTTTATTATTATTTTGCGGAAAATACAAGTTCGTTTGATTAGAGATATTGTTGATGTAAATAATGGTAAGATTTGATCAGTTTGAATTTTTCGTTCGATTTTTGCTTTTCTTGCGCGAGGCAGATAAAAGGATTCACTAACCGGGACATCACCTTTTTATACAATTTGCAGGATCGATCTTGGAATACACTTAGGGGAAAAATTACGTTAATATGATCGCATCACGAAAATCTGATCAACAACATCCCCTTAATTTAACAATAAAGAATTTAACGCTATCCATATATAAGGATCATCAAGGGGCTATACATAATTTTTGAGAATGTGCGAGAAAGTTTGAGAATAAATTATTACTTGTTCCCGTGATACATGTAACAATATTACTGCGCATTGATTTATCAAGCTATAATAAAACTTGATCGAAAAAATAATAGCACACTTTGCTTCACACAATTCCACAACCCCACTTCATGCAAAAAAAAATTATAAAATGTCTGGTAAATTTGCGCCATTGCTTTATTGATCAAGTTATCCGAGGACATTCACATTGCTTATATATTCCTTCTGCGACTTTTTTACACCTTTTGCAATACAGATGTGAGTGATGATCGCATTCATCACAAACTTTACATCCATGCTTCCATCCCCTAAATATATGCCATTTTTCAAAGTAGTTCTGCTTTAGCAAAGCTCCTTATAAGCTGTACTATTCTGATTGTTTGTCGGCATGATATATATTAAAAATTCTTGTGTGACCAAAATTTCTAGAAGCACTCAGCCTTACGTTGCACAGTCCTATTATTTTGGCGTTCTGAATACTGTGCATTTATCATGGCAATGAGTAACAACTGCAAGTGATCGATCTCACATGACTGGCCTATGCTACGATTGCGAATTTGAATTTATTGCTTGAAGTGAAGCAAGTAAGACAATATTCTGTTCCATTCCTATACCATTCGCCATGTAATCCATA